ATAGTTATCACTGACCGTTATAGCGCAATAGGGTAAACTATGGGTATATAATTTCTAAATGTCCTACGTGTTGTAAGATCGAGACAGCGTATGTCCAGACATTTTTTTCTAATTTAAAACTATTTTCAACATTTTTTTTAAGTTTGTTCTCTCTGTTTTAATAGGTTTTGCACTTTTTTGTTAATACTATTTTTTTGTATATAACATTGTTAAAGAATTAATATTCAAAATTCATTTGGATTAAGATCAATAAATGTCATTTCAGTGCCGTACGTAAAATACAATACAAAACGTGACAAGTCAGTGTTTCTTAGTTGTTTCATATCTGTGTAGAAAATTCTGAAAGCGCTTGATCATTTTCATTATAATATACTTAAAGATAAAGAAAAAATAAGTCTAAAAATAAGTGACGTCTAAAAAAATGTCAAAAGAAGGGATCGAACCTCGGACCTCTCATACATAAGGTAATCACTTAACCGACTTTGCTATTGCGGATGTTACGAGAACCTACATTAAGCTAGTGGGAGTTTTCCAAAAGTTAGCTATATACTCCATATTAATTCTCGTAAAATAAACGGACAAAACCGAAGTAGGATCGAATATTTAAATGAGTGCTATAATGTATTCATAATTGACAGGTCAATAAAATCAGACTATATGTAACATTTAAAATCAATACGTGTTTTATTTATCTGTCATCTAACCTTCACATACAATGTCATAGGATTAAAAAAGACTAAAGATATTTTAAAAATGATCACTTATTTTAATTCATTATTGTTATAGATAAAAAATTATATAATTGAATTGAAAAAATAATGAAAACACATAAATCTAAAAGGACATATATGGTAGTTACGCCCTATTTAGCTAAGTTCGCTAGTTACGTCCTTTTAGAATTATTGACCGATGCATGAAAAGGTAAATATTAAAAGGGCATAAAACGGATTTAGTGAATGTTATTAAAGTGATCGGTTATTTCAATTTGAAAAATGTTTTTTAAAAAAGTCGATGATATTAGTTGTTCTAAGTGTGTCCCAAATTTTATCTTGATTGAAAAAAGACCAAAGTCTGCAGTCATTTATTTTTCAATTTCCCAAAACTTGTAAATATGCATTTACGCCCTTATAGCACTAGACCGTCGAAATCATGACAAAGTTTGACTTTGTCGTATCGTTGTATCGTTATGTCGTTATGTTTTTTTCTTGTTTTTTTTTTGTTGTTGTTGTTTTTTTTTCTTCTTTTTTTGGCATTTTCGCCAGCAAAAAGCAAATATACGACTTAGGTTATGCCAATTTGATCTCCTCTGCTCAATTTGAAGTTTACGGGAAGAGCCATTATTTTACGATTATTGTGATGCGAAAAGCACAACACATTTTACGTTGTGTATTGCTCCCTTCTTGTATCGTCCTTTCATATTTTTTTCGTGAAAATGCGAAAATTCAAAAATACAAAAAGATGACTTCATTTTTCCTTTCAGTTTCAAGGGGAAGATAATTCTTAAGTTATTTTTACAAATTTAAGCCACATATTCACTTTGAGATTTTTGCCCTAGATAACCTTTTTGTTACTGTACATTTTCTATAAAAGTATAAAAGCTATTCATACACATGGTCACTACTAAATTATGACATCATTTTACTAGATAGATAATAAAAGGGTAGATAAGCATAAACTTTACTTTTTCTAAGTTATGCAACTTTGAATATTTGGTTCACTTATATGTTAAGGTTGTGTCGGCAGATGCTATGCGATTTAGTTTCAAAGTTTTAAGAAAAGTACCATCAACATGTGATGCTTTTGTTAGCCGGATCAAATTGCTGATATGATACGGGAGTCTAAAAAGAAAATAATATGTTGTTAATTCATTGCCTTTATTCTTTCTTATTAAAACATGGCGGAGACTGCGCCAAATTACCGAAAAGAATAACTTACGCAAAGAACGCTCAACATTTTTTATAGGGGTGCCTTCATCAACCTCACACACTCCCCCCGTAAACCAAATGTCGTCCCGACATTTGCTATCAAATGAACCCTTATCACTAACAAGTAAACAGAAACAATTTACAAAATATATAACTATCATAAAATGAAGACTAGAAACCAAGTAAACAAAAAATTATAAAAATACCACAAAAATTTACTTATTTCAAACATTAGCTTTAAAATATTTTCCCAGATCTCAAATGAGACACTATTGACTAACATTCTTTTCAACGTCTAAGATCACAAGTATTTATACAAGACACTTCATTATTTATTGATTCTTATTTTAAGCGCATCCCCAGGAAAGCCAACGCCATTACACTTAACAATTTGACCACGCCAAAAACCCCATGAAATGAAAAGATGGCCAATCTGTTCAAGTCATACCCTTTTGATTATAGAAGTTTTGACCCATTGCCAACCTGTTCTCTTTAATGACGAACCCTTTGTTCCTGAGCATCATGCCTTATTTCTATAATCAATAAATGTCTTTAAGTGACTGTATATTCTTATGAAATTGCTTAGAAAAAATTTCCTAATGGTGACAACCAACACAGTGAATTAACCACTTTTTGGTAAGATGGCTGTCCCAATTTATCATATGTTAATAACCTAGGTGCCACTTGCTGCCTTACTGAACTCCGTATGACAGGTGTCGGGTTTGTTTTCATATGGTACTTCTCTGTTGATTTAAAAAATTTTTTGTGTGACTTGTCATCTGATTTGCATTCTAATAGCATCCGTTCAAAATCAGCAAAAAGAAAAGACATTTGATCTTCTTCTTCTTCTTTTAAAATTGATTCTACCATCTCTTCAGCAAAGTTTAACATCTCATCTTCATTTGTGAATTGCTTTCTTGCACTTAAGTTGTCAGTTCTATAGGATTAAGGCCAATTTTTTTTTCTCTTGAGCCGCACCACATCACGAAAACATGCCATTTTAATCCCGGACGAGCCCCCAAATGTTAGCCGGGTCAAATTGCTGATATGATACGGGAGTCTAAAAAGAAAATAATATGTTGTTAATTCATTGCCTTTATTCTTTCTAATTAAAACATGGCGGAGACTGCGCCAAATTACCGCAAAGAATAACTAACGCAAAGAACGCTCAACATTTTTTTATAGGGGTGCCTTCATCAACCTCACACTTTCATATGCAGTCACAGCAAATGTAAATACCGTGACATCGTATAACCCGTGATATCATAGGAACTGAGTATATATAAGTATGTCCCAGATTTTACCAAACGTACAACTGTCCTCACTTAGCCTTTTCTAAGTGTTCTTTTTTCTTCCTTTTTTTCCTTCTCCATGATTATGTTATTCCAAATTTTATACCATATTGTAATTCTTTCTTAAATAAAACTAATCATCTCTAAACATAAAGAAAGACTCCTCCATCTGAAAGAGCGATAGTACTGTATCAATTTAGTAGTGTACTTCCTAATAATAAATAAATTAGCGGTGTTGCATTTTCTTGTAATATTTACAAGACAAGAAACTAACGCACCGACAGATGAAAAGGCCATTTCCTGTACAAATTGAAATACAGAATTAAATGTTATTTTATCAGATATTCTGACGGAGTACTTCTCATAAAGTTCAAATATAAAATTTCTGTAAGTAGCATTATCTTAATTTTGACCAAGACTTCATTTTATATGGCCATCGTTTAAACAGATTGTTGAAAATAAACGGTAATTTGTCAGTTTGTAGACACCGACATTTCCTAAGTGATTTTGGAAATGCATTTTATTGATGCTGATACTTACAGTGGTGATAATAATATCTTATTTATTAAAGAAAAGTTTACAATAGAGTAAGTAGCTGATAACAAGCACATAAGTAGTCGCTAATTATTGTTTTTTATACTAAAAAAAATAAAAGAATACTTATAATTTGAGTTATTTCCCTTTGTCTTAAAAGAAAGAAATACCTGTTGTTTCTTCTAATTCTGGAGAACTTGTTTAGTCTTCTTATGAATCATTTGAGGTTTGATTATCTTATTTAAGTCATTGTTTGACACATTTTATGCTTCTAAAAGAGTTTGATTAGAGAGCATGGCCAGAAAGGCAAAATAAAAAAAACCTAACTTTTTAAATGCTTACCCAAGGGTAGTCCTATAAATATGACGTCGCTTTGAGATATTTTTGCTTCTAGGCAAAGGAACGTCATATCGAAATTGCTCAAAAACCCATAGCATGTTCCGCCAGAAAATCGGGCGGAACGAAAAACAATGAAGACAGCGTGTATTTACATAAGTTTTGACCTATTTATGAACAAAACTAAAAAATAAATACCTTTTGTAAAAATAATTAAACTGTCACATCCGAAAAATCATGATTAAATTCTCTCATGTATTTCAATTCTTTTTACAGCCTATAAACAAATGGCGGCCATAAAGTGTGTGAAATCTGATTGGCTTATTCAAATGCAAGCGTTTAACTGAGTCAGAACAATCTAACGGAATATTTTTTTAACGAAATAATTGCCCATGCACCGTCAGTGTATTCGAATTTATTTTTCCGTTCAAAAATTTGGAATCAATCTGTAAAGCACCTTGCTTAACCAGTATGGCTGATACAGGGCTCATCCTGGGGGGAAATTTTAGGGAGAAGTGACGTCCTCGCGAAAATTAGGGAGAAGGGAAACAACCCAATGTGTATGCATTAACATGCATGGCTATACATCCTTTAATTATAATATAAACACAATTAACATCACTTATAATATTTCTCCAGTTTATTAATTAATAGTAGATTAATTAATAGTAGTATTAATTAAAAGTAGATTAATTATTTAGTAGTAGATCAGGCAATGGCATCTAAATGTTTTTGAGCTGCATATATGAATATAAAAAATTATTTTTGATATCTATTGATCAGCTATTTATAAGCTTTCTCTAAATATGTGTTTATATATTTTCATGTACATTTGTTGATAATAATGTGTAAGAAAAGATATGATGATAAAATCAATTTCATATTTTTTACTTTACTTTCCTAAGATGAAGTCACATTGAATATTGATTAATAATATCTGTTCTGGTAACAGATATTTCTCTCAAAGTCCTGATGTGTATGTAGTTAAAGCATAATGAGGGTCCATCCGCCCTTCCGGGCACAAAATGCAGCTTGCGCTATCGAGTACGGACCCCGGACATGTCACCAGTCATGTCCTTAAAGAGTTAATTTTGAATCACAAAATGGTGATAATTTACCTCCATGCAATTTCCACGGAGTATTAGCCAAAGATATGAATTTTGAGCCGAAAAGTAGGTCACTGTACGGCGGTCAATGAGAACCTAAATGTACAGTAACTGTGACAATAGGAAAGGTGTTTTTAGCCCTGAAAAGGGTGTTGGTGCCAGCTATAGGCCTGCCTTACAAGCCGTCTATCTGTACTAGGGGCTCACGTACCCTAGTACACCATCCTCGTCGTCTCAGCCTACTTTGTAGGGCCACTCCCCTCGGCATTAGTCAGGACATCGGCAGCTGGTCCGCAGAAGTGACGAAGTAGGAGTTCCGTAGTTACCGCCCACGGTTGAAGGCAAAATTTAAGTTGTCTACCAGCCAAGTTGAAAATCTTCTGCCGATGCCCTGTGCCTTCTCAGCGACGTGCACGCTCCGAGGGGAAGTGAGAAGCTCAAAGTCCTGAATGTTGTAATGTCACATTTATATGCATATAATTATGCTTGTAAAACAATTTTCAAACATCAAAGAATATGTAAAATATGTACTGCAAACATTTGTGCACATTATATTTGATCACTAAAATTACATACATTCATTTCTTATTGAAAACTTTGACTGAGAAATTGTAGAAAATTAATTTCTAATTACCTCCCTTTATTTTCATGAAATGTTAAATTCGGTAATATCTTTATAAATAATGCTTTTTAAAATTTACAATATTGATAAATCTTAATCTGAGCGTCATATTTACGAATTTATTTTGAAACAATAAGAACACTTCTTTCCAGACAAATGTTGTTGTTATATACATATTACATGATATACGACCGATATGTAGTTATGTAGTTAAGCCGGGATGGGATGTCTTGCCCACATGCGTAAACTGTGTCAAATTTGGCATTTCTACAAAGAGAACAACAATGCCAAACACCCCAACTGTCTCGCAAGATTTTTGCGAATTGGCTTTCTTAAATTTTTCGCGTAGGTGTAACTATCAGAATCAGTAACTTTCTTACTGCTCGGTTTCGGCATTTCGCCTTGTCGCCTTGACGTGAGCGACATAACAATTTTTACAGTAAAAAATTGATGTTAACAGACTTTAAATCATTCAAAACTATGATTTAAGTTTTTAATCTGGTCGCTGATCATTAATGAAATTGATTATTTTTAATTGACTAACAGTTTTGTGATAGCCGTGAAAAAATCCATTGCAAATCGCCTTTAGTGGGTTAAAAACCCACCATCAAAGTGCATCGTGTATGTCAATTAGGGAAGATTGCACGTGTTTAGATAATTGGGGAAAAAACAATTTTAATTATCGCCTTAATCCCGTATTAAACTCGCAAAACTATCACACAATTATACCGTTTCAGGCCGATGCTTCTCATTATTTTACTGTTTTTAGAGTAGGCGGTTCTATCGCTTCGCTTACAGGTAGAAGGGTAGTATAAAGCGACGCTCTGATTGGATAATGATAATTAGCCGCAGTCGTCATATGGGCGGATACAATCTCTGCTCTTTACATCGCTAAGTTAATCTACTATTTGGGAATTAAGATTTTATCGGCGATGTTAACTTCTCTTTGATCAATCGGAAGAGCGAAATTGGAATATACACGGCGAAGTTTTCGCCTGAATCGCCCTTCCGGATGAGCCCTGTGATAGACAAAAATAGATTGATGTTTATATTTTATTTTAAATTGATAAGTACATTGTTTGAGAGTTTTTGTGTATGATTGAGCATGAAATTGAAAGAAAAGAAGATAAGCTTTTGAATAAAGCTTGAAAGGCAAGACAAAAGACATTTTTTATGATGCGATGCGTTTTTGAGCAATACCTATTAGACGTCAGGCTTGACGGACATAAACTATAACAAGCCTGTAACGTCTAATATCTTGGACTAAGCCAAGGGCAGCATGAAATACCCCAATACACTAAAATATACCCTTAATACTGCCCAAATATACAAAAATATTGCCCAAATATACACTTAAATTGTCCAAATATACTAAAAATAAATGTTTTATACAAAAAAGTGCTGCTTTTATTATTAATTACAATATACATATATTCACTAAGATAAAACCAAACAGACCCAAATATACATTTCCCTATGATATCCAGTGTTTTTTTCCTTTATATAACTACTACCTAAAATGGTACTGTTCCCAATAGAAAATTTCAAATGTTTGAACGTCCGTGGCCAAGTGGTTAAGATCGTTGACTTCAAACCACTTGCCCCTCACTGCTGTGGGTTCGAATCCCTACAGGTACTTTGGTTTCTTTCATGTGAGGAAGCTATCCAGCTAGCTTAAGGAACGTCTGTGGTTTTACTCAGGTGCCCGTTCGTGCCTGAAATACTGCATGGAAGGGCACCTGAGGTCTTCCTCCACCAGTAAAGCTGGAATGTCACGATATGACCTACACTGTGTCGATGTGACGTAAAACCCAAAAAAACCAAAATGGCTGTTCAAAATTGCCACAAGACCAAGTGATTTCTCTGAAATCATTTCAATCCAATATATTAATATAAATCACCATTCAATAGTTCTACCTGGACAGTGAAAGCTGTTAGCTATCTTTATTCATGATGACTGATCTTATTTGTAGCTGAAAAAATGCATGGAAAAAAAACCCAATTTAAGTCAAAATAACGCATTTTTCCCAATCAGTCTGGTACCGGCACCATTCCCAAAGTAGAGAAAAAAAACACTGCTATCATTGTGTTTTGAAAGAAAAAATACCCAAATACAGTGTACTCCATTAAAGCTATATTGAATTAAAAAAAAAATGATGGAATCTTGTATGAAATTTGAACAAATTTATACCCCCCCCCCCCTCCCCTCCCAAAAAAATAAATAAATGTAGACAAGTCTGACAACAAATATTATCATATCTTTATCTTAAATTTCAAGTATATTCATTATGAAGCTACTGTAGATAATCAAATGTCACAAGTTGTTTTCTTACAACATCTGAACTGCCCATTTCAACGGAATGAATGAAAGTTATAGCCGCCATGTCATACTATGTTATAGATATTAATTCATTTTCTCATTATATTCTGTATTTCATACAAACAAAAATGAATATTGCTATATTTAGGTATATATGGTCAATATTTGGGTATTTCCCAACCAAACAAGGCTCTTTGTTTCTTCAGTTTGGTCCTCAATATTGCCAGCCGAGAGCGCAAATTTCACTCAACCTCTTGTAATTACGAATTGAATTAATGAGAACTATATGCAGAGTAGAAAAATGATACCTGCACATTTGATAAATTTAGAAGCTACTTGACCAACGTAGAGTGTTCATGCAGTCATTGAATTTAAGATTTTAAATTTACTGGCCCAAATTCCGGTTTTGAATTTATTCTACTATATTTTCAACTAAATTTTCTTAAAATTTACACTGGCCCAAACTTAT